CACTGTTTAATGAGGATGATGTTAAAGTATTTATTTTTTATTTTATAAGAAAAAGTAAGAGAAATGTCAGAGTTTTACTTTTATATCTGATGAATTTGGAGATATTATTACTACTGTTTGTTGTATTTTACTTTCACTTTGACTTTTGCATTATATATTTGATGTTCTTCTCCAGGTGATCAAATATAAAACCTTTCACACCTACGCTGCACAAAGCCCAGGTTGTGTTAAGAAGCAGGACTAAGATGCTCTTGTTAGTGAGGTGGATGATCTATATATAGTAAAGTGTGTGTGTGTGTGTGTGTGTGTGTGTGTGTGAGGGTGGGGGGTGCATGAAGACCAACAAGCCTGCAGTGTTTGAGTCTTAAGGAACAGACTGCAGTCTTTGTTGGGTCACTCTCACTTTCTCTCTCCGGGGGTTTGTTGACATGAGATTCCTCACAACAATGTAAACCCTCTCAGCCGGCAGCCATGTGTGGGTTCCTCAACCTTCACGCCTCCCTCCGCCTCCCTCCCGTCTCCCTCCCGTCTCCCTCCGCTGTGTGGAATCATGATCAAGTTCCTCCGGTTTTTGGAATAATAACATTGCGTCGGTGTGAAGGTGGAGTCTGCATTTAGCTCCATTCATCTGAGAAGAAAACAATCCTTTCTGACGTTGTCGTGTGTTTGTGTGACGTGAGTTACGTCTGTGTCAGGGAGGGTAAACAGTAACGTCTGGAATTCATATGTTAGACAGTAGAGTTTATTTTGGCATTAAAGATCTCCATATTCGTTATCAGAGTCTGGAAGAGTGAGTCAGTCCAGTTTTAATTTCAGTGTCTGATCTGGATTCAGAACAACCCTAACACACATTTATGGGCATTTGTTATCCTTTAACGGCGTGTTCGGGTTCGTTTTACCAAATGTCTGCATTGTGTTCTACACTGACTGACTTTATAAGGCGTTATTCTTTATTCAAACATGAGACTCTAACACATTTTGCATCCAGAATCTTTGGATTTCATGCAGCAGTAATCTCTTTTAGCTCTGTTTTTGGTCTCCACCACCAATATGTTCACCAGCTTTGTCTCTCTGCTGTTTGGAGCCTGATTCCCAACCCAGATGCTGTTTCACCATCAGTGAATGTAATTCTGGGACATTTTATGGGGCGACTATGTAGTTGTCACTTACAGTTAAATTGTAAAGTTAAGTTAAGCCGCTTTTATTTTAGTAATGCTCGAATCACAGCTTAGTAATAATTATACAGGCTGAGTTTGAACTTGTAGAGCAACAGGCTGCTGGTCCCCCCCCCCCAGAGGTTCCTCGTCACAGGGGAAACTTCCTGTGGTGGAAACGCTGCTGCTAAATGAAAGGGGTCTTAAATAGACGAGCCGTTATACAATGAAAGGTCAGCTGGATACAAAGAGAGAGGGAAAATGTCACTGAGATCACTTTTACTGTCAGACAGCGAGAGAGAGCAGCCTTCAATTTAAAGGCTGTTTCATGCACTTGCACATACTGGTGTCTCTCAGAAAGCGTGCTGCTCTGCACACGGTGTACTCAGGCTGACATGCAGATGAAAGCAGTATATTTGCTCTGCACATGCTCCAGGGCCTTCCAGCTATGTGCCTGCTTACATAACACACAGCATACCTGCAGATAAACACTCAACTCTCATCTGCAAATCCAACTCAAGCTCTTCTGTTCATGTTCACGACAGCTCAACACTCTGCACACACGGACTCGAGGGCGAACGGCTTGATCCATGTGCTCACAGTGCAGAGCCTGTTCTCCGTCAGGGCATGGCATCCTGCTCGCTAGTGGCCTCGCTCTGTCTCTCCCTGAATGGACCGTGTGTCTGCAGGGAGAGAGTGGTGCACCCAGCAGCCCCGTCTTTATAAAGATAATGAATAAATGACGACTCGTTTTATTGCCAGAGGTCGGGTTGTGTGCGGAGGGTTCAGGCTAACTCACCTTCCAGTGTTAAATATCCTCTCTGACACACCTGTGTATGATAATGAAGCATATGGTGTTATTACTGCAGGCGTGGTGCCGGATATTCAGGTTGGTCTGCAACAGTAAGACAAAGAAATATGAGCCACAGATCTGTAGAAAACTTTATTTAACTCATTTACATAAAGTGACTGGAAATGATTCTTTTGTCAGCTGGACAGTGAAGGGTTGATTGATTTCATTGGTTCCCAGTGGACCATGTAAATTCATATTTAAATTTAAAGTCAAGATATGCAAAAAAAATTGCAATCAAATTTTTGAGAGTTGTACTCTTTTCACATGGCAGCAGTTTTACAGTACAGTGGGAGTGTTTAAAGCTCTAACCTGTACCATCATCCTCATTAAACAGTGTATAAGCTCTGGCTCTATGTTCTATATGTATTGATTCTTCCATTATCCCAAATGTTTCCAAACAATGTTCAAACTCAGAGAAATCTGTCATTTTATTCAGGTAACGCTTGCGGTATCAAACATTGAGGAGGATCTATTGTCAGAAATGGAATATAATATTCATATATATGTTTTCATTAGTGTACAATCAGCTTCCTTAGAATGAGCTGTTTTTATCTACAGATGCAGGTCCTTCCACCACATTGAACCACCATGTTTCTACAGTATAGAACCAATAAACTGATCCTAACCTCGATGAGCTTGTACGTTACTCGGTCCAGCGTTGCGTTAATCGGAGCCACCTTGCTGACTTGAACTGTTCTGGCTTTTAGACAGTGACAGCCGTCTGCACATGGCGTGCACATGGAGGACACGCTTTTCAGATCTGATGCAACTTTTCTCCTGACTCTGAAAGTGGACTCTTGCTGCAGGCAGGCAGCCATTTGAGAGTGCAGTGAAGGTAGTAATCAGCGTGTGAGGGATCATTATGGAAAATCCACAGGAGCCTTGGTTCTCTGAGGCAAAGCTAAATTTACCTCCTCTGTCTGTGTTTCTGTCTCTCTTCCTCGTCTCCCTCCTGATTCTGCCCCCCGTCTGCCCCCTCTTGCTTTGCTTCAGGCAGCGTGGAGGCTTTTAAATGGCTGTGTGTGAGCTTGTGTGTGTGGTTAGCAGGGTGTGGGTTTAATATCCCTGTGTGTAGCTCATACACCCAGTCCTGAAACGAGCCTGGAAGCAGTTTTTATATAGTTGCAGCCTTCTGAAGACCACAACTTCACTACTTTGGGCCGATTATGGAGAAGGAATGAAAAGAAAATCCTCTGTATAGACTTTAAATCTGTAGAATTTGGATGTATTTAGTTGGTAGTGTCTGCAGTCAGAATCGGTGCTTTCAGCTTGAGCTCCAGTGTTCAGCATCAAAGTGTTTAAAGCCGGTAACCTTCTTATTAAACAGTAAGGTGTATGAGCTGCTCAGCTTTGATGTTTTTTATGGATCTTGCAGCTCATATCCTGAGTCCTGGCTCCAAAGTGTACTATCAAGACCAGTTTAAGACAGAAACTTCTCCATCCGCTGTCTAGTTAACCTTTCACCCCTGTTTCCAGCCCTCCTCCTCCTCCTCCTCCTCCTCCTCCCTCATCCGTGCCTCCTCCAGGGTGAGTCGGGACGAGTCGGCTCCTGTCCAAAATGCCAGAAACTTCTGCATCGCTCCCAGTTCTCCTGACTGCCTGTTCATCCCGATCTTCTTTCTTTCTTTCCTTTTCCCTTTCCTGTGCTTACTCACGTTTTTGTCTTTTAATGTAACTCTCTGTAAGTCTTGATTTCCTTCCTTAAACCTTTTTTTTAACTGACAGACCATCAGAGAGTAGATTAGCTGTTTCTCTATAGTTATTGTAATGTCGGCCACCGGGTTGGATTCCCCTTGAAATCAATGAAACGAGAGGGTAGAAACACTATTAAAGTCCCTTGTAGCTGCTTCAAATTAAAGTCAAATAAATATTCTGCATCTGCCTGTGCACTGAGGCTACGTGCTGAAACTAAAGGAAGGGAAATGAACTCAGTATTCATATTTTTTTTTTGTGAATCCACTCCATTAAACATAAAATACTCAACATCTTGTTTATCATTTTGTGTTTCACTACAATTTCAAACATGTTCAAACACTGTGGGGTCTTCACTAGAAATTGAGCAATGTTTGGCAGAGTTGGTAAGGATGGATGGTCCGCCCAGTGAGAGTTTAGGAGGAAACATTCAGGGAGGAGAGGACCCACATGTGAGCCAGCTGGCTCGGATTCGAGGGTGCACATTTGGGCCAATATGGGCTGAGATTCAGCTCTACTTTGGGGAAGTGTCTTTGCTTGGAATTTGGAATTGTAAGTTTTATTTCCAGCATATTATTATTGATACGAAAGTTAGGAAAGGACTGTGGTTATTGAACATTAATGGCAGGTTTTGGTACCAGATGTGCTCGGCGTCCTGCGTTTACAGAGCATGTAAGACATTAACACATTATTATTGGCTCATCAGTTCTGCACATGGCTCACTCTTTCCCAACTTCCATCATCAGACGTGTTTAATCCAGAATGTTATTGATTAAAACGTTTTATCTTCTGGATGCAGTTAAATCAAACTCTGCCCCGGTCTGTTCGTTCCTCTAAAGGAGCATCACACCTTTCATGAACCTTTCCATTCGACATGAACAAGCCCATTCATCCATGTAAAGTTCACTGTGTGTGTGTGTGTGTGTGTGTGTGTGTAACTTGACATTCAAGCGTGTTTCTACTTGGCGAGCTCAGAGCTCCACTTTACCGGAGGAGTTAGGATCAGCGACGCGTCCAAACAAGTTTCCCAGAGTGTTTGCCTTTTCCGGGGGATTAAAACCCTCACTGTGGGGTACTCAGCAAGACCGGCATTGACCCAGTTTTTACCCAGCATGCAGCAGGAGGTGGAGGGTCTGTTTGTGGCCTAACGTGTGCTGCCTGAGATCTTCACTGAAGCACTCAAGAGAAGACTGATCACTTGTAGAGCCTGGAGAGGTTTTACAGATGACACTGGTTGAGTTGAAGTGATTTAAACTACAGAGAGGAAGAGGAGAGGGAGAGGAGAGGAAGAGCCGGTGAAGCTCTCAGTAGCTGTTTACATGCAGCCTAATGTTCTGATTATAATCACATTAAAATCACCTTAACACCTTAATCTGAATAAACAGGCTGCAGACGGTTTAAACATTTTCAAGAACTGATTGAAAGAAAAATCCACGTTCAAAGACTGAACTGGATCACTGTGGAGAGTTCAAACTGAACTTTATTGGACGCATAGACGGTAGAAAAATCAGAAATAATGACCTATTTAAACAAGTCAAAGAAACAATGAACAAAGGAAGGAGAAACTGAAGCGCTGAACAACTTTAGCTGAAATCTTGATCTGGTGTTCCAGATAAACAGT